TTATTTGTTTACTTTATTAAACATTTCTTTCAATGTAAGTTGTTTAAGTGCTTCGTTTTTATGTGATAATACATTCTCTTTAATTCTATAACAGACATAATTTCTTGTTCAGTTAACAAAGTTCCGCTGTTCAAGTCCTATAATTGCTGTGTCGAGAATACCGACTAATTTGTTAATCGAAATTTTTTCGTTTTCAATAACCTCTGTCACTTTCTTCGCTATCGGAAGCGAATTATAATAACGAGGCATTTGATTTAAATCATATCAAAGATGGAGTACATCGAAATGAAATACTTCATTTAGTAAGCAATTATAAGCCAAATAAAATAAAAACATCTGCCCTGAAGATAAGGATAGTGCTGACAGATCAACTTCCAATTCATTGTGCGCTGCGCTATGGCGTTAAAGATAAACAAAGTTTAGATAAACAAAGGATATGCCTTTATCCATTTTTTGCAGCAATTCCACTTTTTGTTTAAAGGACTCCGAAACATACTTTTGCTTTGTAGATCCATTACATATTAGTAAATATAAATCAGAAATTCTATTTGACATAATCGAAAGTTCAAGCTTACTTTTATAAAATTGCTCTAACAGTCTGCAAAAAATAATAAGCCGGATCCAATTCGAAGATTAAGGAACAACGCAATCTGCAACGTTAACTAAAATAGATAATTAGATAATTTTTGCTTAGCTTATACCGTCCGTTATACATTAAACGCGCATTCGTAAACGTTTTTTGCGCACGCAAATTCGCAGCCGCAATGTGACGCATGCGCAGAAAGTTTGTAGCTTTGAGGTCTGGATTATAGATCATTCCGGATTATGGGTGTCCGAATTAACGACTTTTGACTGTATACTATACTTACCTTTTATTTAATCCAAACTGCTGACACCATTTTGTAAATATTTTTTGTTTTTGTAAGGTGCACATAATTTGATTTCAACTGACACTCAATGAGACACTGAATATAACTTTCAATTTTAAATATTTGAGGTATAAATGCACACAAAATGGTCTGGATATTTTTTCAGATTATTGTGCTAGGGGTTTAAAATTAACAGGCTTTATATGCAAGAAGGTATGTAACTGAAACTTCTGATTTCTGTGATTTGAAAGAATATGAAAGTCCAAGGGAAAATTACGATTGAAGTAATAAAAAAAGAATCCTCACCTTATCTGTTCCGGAAATGAATTAGATAATATATTTAAGAGCTCATTCACACATGTTTTGGGAATTAATAAATCTGGGGGGGGGGGGAGGCTCAGTCATATATTAAAGAATTATAACTAAAAGGTAGAATTCTGATGTAATACAAGATTTAAAAATATGACTTGCAATGTGTCCAAAATAAATTTAAGCAGGTAAACAATTTGTAGCATTTTTATTATTGGAAGAAAGAGCTCCAAAAGTCTGGTGATGGCAGAAAAAATTTAAAAGGAACAGAAGACTTTTTGAGGTAAGTGGGCTATATTCATGTTACCTGCGTAGAAAACCATGAAAACAACCCTGCAGCCAATCAGTTCACCATGAATCTGCTTTAAATGACCTGTAGTCAGTGTGATTATGGCAAAGCCTCAAGGCCTATCTGCCTAAGAGAAGGGATGCCTTCCTGGAGGACTTTCTAAGGGAAACTGGCTCGTATACATGTTACACATGGGGAAAACCACGAAAACGCCCATGCAAGCCAGCTCGTTTGCAGGATTCGAACCTCAGATTGAACTACCAGTGTTCAGTGACTTTACCGCTCGGCCGCTGGGGGGCCTTTCATTAATTCTGAAATAAATCCTCACTGAATTCAGGGCTTCTTCATTAATGCATTGTGCATATAGCAAAATCATTTTCCTCAAAGTTAAAAAATGCAAAAATGTGTAGATGTAGTTCAGATTAAAAAAGTATGTATAATTTAAACAAACCGAAACGTTATAATTAAAAGGGAAGAATTAAACAAATGTTAGTTCAAATTATTTCTATTATGCTTACTAAGTTGATACATGATATAGTTATTTTTTTAAAAAGCTGGTGATTTTTGCTTGTGACAATTATTGAATGCAATTTTTGAAAAGTTTTGCAGTAAGGAGTACAGGGTTTTTCATTGCCTGGTGTAAAGTGTCCTTTTCTTTCTTCCTGTGGTCAGTTTCCAGGCAGAAATGTGCAGTTCCTTTTCCTTTTTTTAACAGTTTGTTTAACTTTCTATAAGGTGCTTTATGTTCTTCACTATTGCTGCTTTCACTGTCAGCTGGTGTTATAAATCATTTAATCCTTCATCTGATATTTTTTGATGAATTCTTCGATTTGTTCTTCTTCCATATCTGAAAACTTTTCACTGCTAGTTGCTTTTGTTAGTTCAAGCTTTTAATGTATTTTCCTTCTTTCCCAGTTGTGGAATTCTTATCGCAACTTGAGCAACCTTTGCTGAAGTATGCTGAAAACTTTGGCACTAGACCAAATCTTTTCTTAATTCTCCCCTATTGTTCTTATGCTAAATTCATTTATAGCTATTTTTTTTTTCTTTTTTTCTTTTGATTTCCAATTTATCTTAAAATTTCAGTTTTCAGAGATAATGTCAAAATTTTGCATTTCTTGTTATTTTATCATCTTCACTCTTTCTTTCAGATGCCATGTTAAATTTCTGAAATTAAAAGAAATACAAATGTGGAAGTATTAAATATGTGATTAAAGCTCTGGATAAGTATTAAATATGTGATTAAAGCTCTGGATAAGTATTAAATATGTGATTACAGCTCTGCTAATGTGAATGAAATGATTGCAGCTTAGCTTGGTTCATTTAGTTAGTGGGAAGTACCAAGTACAGTTGCCATACATGGATATGGAATAGTCTCTTTTAATGAGTAGCTTGCCATACCAATGCAACTGACACTCTGCAATATGAATAAAATTCTAGTGGAGGGCAAATTAAATGGAAACTATTAAGTTATTACTAACATGTTCAAGATCATGTTCCACAAATCTGTGCTTGGCAACGATTAACTGTATTTAATTTTTCATTTTATATTATTGTGTATTAACAGTATTTTATGTTATTGCATAAATATATATATTTTTTTATCCTTTCATTCTATGGTTTTTATAAACAAACTGCAATATTTTTTTGACTTTAACAGTCAAATTTTTAGAATATGGCAAATTCTGGAAACCATGCACTTTATTCTTCAGGCAAACAACATTCTCATTTGCATATGCATTCTTTTTGTAATATTCCAAGTTCGTACAGTTTTTATAAATAAACTGTGATATTTTTGTCTTAAGTCAGTTTTAAGCATAATTTTAAAATATGCACTTGTGGCATCTGCCAAAAATGGAAGAAACTTCGGTTAAGTTTCTGCAAGATGATCCTGAGTCTCTACAACTCTGATTTTTTTTAAAGGAAAAACAGATCGTTGTGTACATGGGAAGAAGAATAGTGAAAAAAAGTGGAAAAATTTGGAAACAAATATATTTGTTTTATTTTTTATTCAATAATTAAAATTTGCATTTTAAATTGCTAATTATGTTTTCTTTTCATATGTTAATATTTGCCAACTTATGATAAATATCAATAGTTTGGGAATCTTTTTAAAGATAGTTGTATAAACCACCAACTTGCACCTGATATGTAATTTTTACTTTTTCATTCATAAAAAATCGCGAGATGGTTGTGTTGATATATAAGTACCATATGGCTAATATTATTACATTAATTATATGCGAGGTTCTTGGATTGACTAATTTATTATAAGAATGAGTTTTTGAATTGCTTTATCACATATAGTAAATATATTGCTTTTCCAATTTATCAATCTGATTTGTTTTGAATTTTTTTGGTATTGTTTTTGAAATCCTCTTGAATGTTATAATACATACTTTTTTTTATTTTATTATATTAAAAAAGTCCCTTCGTGTTATTTCTGTGCCAAATATGTTCTTCAAAATAAAATTAAAAGTGATAAATGATAAAACTCATGATAAATTATTTTATTGAACTTTAACATGAGAGAGTTTAGGCTGGGTTTCTGTTGCATTGTGCAATACTTCACAGTTAAGTTGACGTAAGTCCATATTGAGCCTGATATTAAAAAGTCCTGATCTGATTCTTGAGACAGGTGATGATAGTGATATAAAAAGAAAAGAAAGGCCTTGTCTTTTCGAGAAATTAGAGGCTATTCATTGCTGGTAGAGAGTCAGATGGGTCTATAGGTTATCTAAGATTTCTAAAAATCTGAAAAATAGTGTAATCTTACAGTAGAGTGTATTGAGAAACATAAAAGTCACAGAAAATAATTTTCTAAAGCATATAGAAGCAGATATTAGTTATCTGTGATTAGATATTGTAATCACAGTGATGAGATTGAGACTGAACTCAGTGTCAATCTCATCTCTGTGATTCTGTGCTTTACTGCTCAACTGTGATCATCTGTGGGCAAAGTGAAGATGAGTCATGTAATTTTCTAATACCCAGTCCTAGTGAGCTTAGAAACTGCAAAATTTAGTTAATTTTAACATTTTGCATAATTTTGACAAGTGCTAGTTTAAGCTTATCAAACCTTGATTTTGACATTCTTGCTAATGTCAGTGATTGGTGATTAAGTGAATAATAGCAATGCTGATAAATCTTTTTAAATGACCTTTTTAAAGATAGTTGTATAAACCACCAACTTGCACCTGATATGTAATTTTTACTTTTTCATTCATAAAAAATTTCGAGATGGTTGTGTTGATATATAAGTACCATATGGCTAATATTATTTATTACATTAATTTTATGCAAGTTTCTTGGATTGACTAATTTATTATAAGAATGAGTTTTTGAATTGCTTTATCACATATAGTAAATATGTTGCTTTTCCAATTTATCAATCTGATTTGTTTTGAATTTTTTTGGTATTGTTTTTGAAATCCTCTTGAATTTTATTATAGATATTTTTTTTTATTTTGCTTTGTATTTATTGGAATAATAAGATATTTAATAAATCATTGTATTTTTGTCATCAGATAATAAACTGACTGTGATCAATATGAGTCAACAAAGTGACTCTGTGGATCTGCTTGGAGGGTAATATTCTTTATATCATTTAATGTTTGATATATTTAATGAATTAATTTTGCAAAATACTTTGTAAAAAAGAAATTTATTTTTAGTGCAAAACTAATTTTTATTTATTTTTTAAATTTAGATACAAGCCAGTGGATCTTATTCAAGTCATTCATCCAATTAGAGAAGCTTTTCTTGAATTTTTCCCTCTAGTAATAAATGCTGACAAAAATGCTAAATTTTTACAACATATATCTGTAAGTTTTTTTTTTAATAATTTGTATTTGTTTATTTTTATAGTTTTAGGCATAATTTTGAATATTTTTTACCTAACTCATTAATAAAAATTATACTGTCAGTTACAATTTTAAGTAAAGAAGTATGATTAGTAATACCCTTAGCATTTTTAATTCAATGACACTTTGGCAGTAATTGACAATTTTATTCAGAGAAATCAAGCTTACATGCTCAATTTCAAATCACAAAATGTTAACATTTCAAGTAACCTTTAATAGAAAATATTAACTGTAAAAAACTCTCTGCCAAATTGGTTTTTTCCTTGGGCCTGGGGAGCTTCAAGGGGCAATAAGTAGTGAATCAATTCTAATAGATTACACTCTTTCTTTATTTAAATTCTACTTACCAGATATTATGCATTAACAATAATAAACACATATAATTATATATGAATTTACTTTCAGAACTGCTATTATAAAAGGAAATATGAAGAACTACTTGGACTTATGCTTCATGCACAAAAAAATATTGTTGATCTATTTGAAAAAAGTAAGTTTTGTATATTATTTATTGCCTAAGTATTAAAGAAAATTTGTTGGGTTAAAAATGTGCTGAATTATTGTATAATTTTTTTAAATCTTAATTAAGTCATACTAAAGATCCAAATGTCTAATTCAGGTAGATAGATTACTTTTTGATTTATTAACTTTTGAGCATAATTTTGTCCTATTATAGTTATATATATTATATTATTATAAAAATATGAAAATGGTTATAGATAAATTTCTAAAATGCAATTCTTTTTTCTGGACTGTCTCAGCTAACCTTTTAACTGTCATGCCCGAAATAATCTCGGGCACAGCACTGGTATTCCAAAATGTCACGCCCGAATATTACTCAGGAATATACATCGTGAGAAGTTTATTTTTTTTTGGGCTTCAGTTCAACAGATGGCAGCATTTGACTGATAGTTTTAAAGGATAGAGGTTAAAGTTCAAAGTGCACGACCTTTTTTTGGTCTTTTGACTTTGAGGCAAACATTTCATTTTTGGAGTAAAAAAAATTGACAAATTATGCACCCAAATCATCAAAATAACTTGACAGTTAAAAGGTTAAACTGAATGAAGATTTTTCTTTAATTGCTGTTTTTTGAATTATTAGTAAAGTGAACAAAGCCCACTGCTAATTTTGTTCAGAGTTTCCTATGCTAAATTTATAAAGTCTTTATACACTAAATTTTGTAATTATTTTAAAATTTTGATGCATACCTTAATTGACAATGTATTATGTTATTCATGTATGTTATAAAATAATCTGTGATGAGTTTAAGATATTTTGTAAAAGTCTACAGTTTCACTTAGAAAGGAAGATGAATTGTAAAAATGAGATAATTTCTGAAGTACCTAAAAGAACTCTGCTGCAAATCGATGTTCTCATGGCCTGAAGAACTATTTAAAAATCCAGCTTTCTCAAGTTAAGAAGTAAATTACTTCTTTACAAGAGTCTTAAAAGATCTGCTGTAATGTATGTCTTAGAAGCTTGGGGGCTGATTTTATGTAATGAGGAAGCTTTGGAGATTTTTGAGAAAAGGATATTGCATTGTATACTTGGTAGGGTCCATGTGAATGGATTGTGGAGAAGGAGATCTAACTTAGAGCTATACAAGATTCATAGACAGCCTGATGTAGTATAATTCTTCAAACTACAGAGACTTAAATGAGCAGGTTATCTGGCAGGAATTCATGAAGACCGATATTGTAAGAAAAATATTTCTTACAAAGCCCATGGGAACCAGACCTCAGGGTAGAATCGATTGTGTTGGTGAAATGGATCGATTGTGTTGAAAATGACCTAAACATTCTAAATGTCACAAACTGCAAAACAGTTGCCAGAAGCAGAGATGCCTGGAGAAGGTCAGGGCCCAACCTGGGTTATTGAGCCACCGAAGAAGAAGATCGAGTTTAAGATGAGATGCTTTACTGTGAACTATTTAAATATGTGTTTAATTAAAGAGTATTGAACTTTTCATAAAATATTCCGGTTGAATTTGGCTAAATTATTTTGCATTTATTATAGAAATTTTTTTATGGAAATCTGTATGCACATTTCTTAATTTCATTTTAAAGCCCTTACTTTTTGCTATTTTATATATCTGCAGTACCAAACTTTTTGAATTTTTTTCTTTGAATTACTGAGAATATGTTTGAATGTGTTTAAAGAAGCAGGAAGGCTTATTAGTTTAAAATACAGTTAGTTGAGAAATTATTGATCTTATTCATAAAGAAGTAAATTATTTAACAGTAATATAATTGATGTTTGGAGTCAGTAATGCAGCAAATGCTTATTTATATGATTTAAAGTATTGGAGATTTAATAATTAATGGAAAATTCTGTATATTTAATTTTTTACTTGTGTTTTTCACTTGATAATAATTTTAAAAAAAATGTATCAAATGATTCATGGATTTTTTTTTGCTGAGTGTTTCCAACCAAGTCTCAGCTAATGCACATAAAATTCTCCATTAGCCAAATTTTAATTATTGAAAAAAATCGATAACCTTTTATGAAAAATTCAAGCAGTCTTAAAAATCATATTAAACACCTGATTATTTAAGTACTCGCCATAAAGCTTACTAAGTAATTTATTACCATTAAATCACCATATACTTAATATATATAGTCACTATATATAGTCATTTATTGACCCATAAATGATTTATTCCAATAAATCACTATATATAGTCATCTATAGGCAAATTAAAATATGCATGTTGACAAATCAAATAGATTAACCCTTTGTGGTCATACAAGTTTATGCATAAGTATCATGCTGGTCCGAATTAATTTTTGTTGAATGAACAGTAGTACATAATATGCAAGATTATGAAGTTTGTTGACTTAGCATAATATGAGATCAGATTGGTTCTTTGCCGAGGTGTTTAAGAGCAGACATATGACTGGAATGGTAAAAAAGCTTTGGTGGTTGAGAGTAGACGTATGACTAGAATGGTAAAAAAAAGTTTTGGTGTCTGAGAGTAGATATATGGCCACAACAGGTTAATTTTATTTTAGAATACCAGGAACATTTCTTTAATCTCTTTACTTTGTTTGGAGAATTTCTATATAAGTTACTTTACAGAGAAATTGCTCTGATTTATCTTTAGCACTGGGGTATTATGAAAAAAAAAAATTATTATTGAATTGAGTATCTGAATATAATTATTGAATGATGTTCAGTGTTTATGTACCTGTAAAAAAATTTTTAAACATGTCTAATTTTTTTTTTGGTTAGAAAGGAATGGGAAATAGTATATATATATATATATATATATATATGTTTGTATTAATAATTTGTTTTAAAAAGAAAATATGCATTTTTGGCTGCATTATGATGTTTTTTAAATTTGCATACAAATATATCTGCGTTTTGTTAAAATAAAAGCAGACACATATTTTTATTCTTATTTTAATGTTTCCTTTCAGAATACAGCTCATCAGCAAAGCATGTTATGATGATCAGTAAATGGAGAACACTGGGTGAGAAAATTCAAAGAATAAAACAACAAATGCAACAAATGAAAAATGCACTTGCATTTAAGTTTATAGAGGTAAATATTTTAAAATATATTTATACCTTTGTACTCCATAAATTATAAAAAGTTTACTGTTTCGGAAGAAATAGGTCTGATTTGCTTTATTCGGGGACTTAAGCCAAAACAGGTTAATTACAGAAAATAGATTATAAGATTTCTTTTTTGATAAATTGTACAAAAGTAACAAAGTTGCTCTGGAAATGTTTTAAGAATTATATTTGATTAGAATTTTTTTAAAGTTATCTTTAATGTTATTTTTTTATTCTTTCTCATATTGATAATGAATTGATGAGTTCAATCAACTTAATAATAAGAACGTAAATGCTCCTTTCCCCCCTTCTTTGATTTTGAGAGTCTTAAAATTTTGTTAACTTGCAATTATTTGTAAAATTATCATGTAAATTATATTGAAGGAAACTTTTAATAATCAACAAGCTTAATTTTTTTTCTTTTTAATTAAAAGGGTGCATTGATTAAAGCAATGAAAAATGGTGAGTGGCTATTATTGGATGAAATTAATCTAGCTGAGGCTGAGACTCTTGAATGTTTGGCTGGTATTTTAGAAAAAGATGACAATACACTTCTTTTACTGGAAAAAGGGTTTGTATTTCCAAAGCTGTAATTTTTAATCCTACATATTTTAATGATTAAATCAGTGATAATTTTTTTTTTTTGTAAATTGTTATTACAGTAAATAATATTGTTGTGAGATTTTAATAAAGCTTACTTCTAATAAGATTTATCTCCTTCATTTAATAAAGATGTAAATTGGTTTCCAATAAAAATATTAAATGTTTATTTGTCATATAAAGTTAAACTTTAGCTGTTCGATAAGTCAAATTTAATGTCAAAATGTAGAATTTGAAATGAATATTGACTTCCAATAAATTAAATTTTTAGTCATGCTTTGTTAAGCTTTGGCTTATTGAAGTTTCCCTATATGTGTGTTTTGGTGAATTTCAAATTCTAAAAGAAAAACTGTTTTAAAAGCATTATTTCATATTTTTAAGGTTGATTTGCACCTGATAGAAACTTGAATTATGCAAGTGCCAAGTATTACATTTGCTAGGATAAAAAATTTCTGCATTTTAGTGTGTAGAATTAATGTTTGACCCTTTGATGTACTTGATATTATTTTTGTGTTCACTAAAATACTCTAGAAATCAAATATTATGATTCACTCACAGAACCATTGCACATCTAGGACTGAGGTAGTAGGGGGAAAACTTGCCTTTTTTCCGTGTGCGTTTCCAATAAATGACGAAATTTGTGAATTAAAAAAAAATCCTATTTAAGAATTGCATTATATGTAATTTTTTTACATTATTTTACAAAGTAAATCGCCAGAAAAAATGAAAAAAATAACATTTGTGTATTTTTTTTAATAGCAGTGACAACATAAGAGCGTACATAATAAGGACATGCGAATGAATGGATAAAAAAACTTTGGGATTTTTTTTTTAAATGTCAAAGAACAATTTGTTAAACTGCTCAAAGCATATTTTCTCTTTTTAATACATGCATAAACCAACATTGCACATTTCGCACATGTATCTTGTTCTACACGGGTGCAGCCAGCTCAAACTATGGAGGGGGGGGGTTGCGACTCCTATGGCTATACTGTTCTACCTATTACAGCATCTTCAAGTATATAGGAGATTTTTACGTGACAAATATATTTTGTTAATGGCAGTTACCTGAATATAAATAATAATTATATTATGAATTTTATTAATAATAAAATTATGTACCATAATTATGGATGTATTGCATTTCATTATTGTATTTATAATTATTACCTTACAAACATACTAAAAGCGTAATTCAATATTTTTATTTTATTATAATTTTAAATTCATCTTGCTTTGGTTTCACAATACAACTATAAAGATAAATAAATACATAAAATCCATATTTCTGTTGTATATGATTATATAATAAAGATATTGAATTAAATACATAAAGATTGTAAATACATCATTTATTTTGGACATGAACTTAAACTGCAAATAATTGGTTTTTTTTTAAAAGGCAAAAATTTTTCTGGCCTTTCATTAGGGTTCGGGAATTAAAATATTCCCGAATTCCATTTTCCGTGGCAGTAAACTAGCAAACTATATCAATAATTTTGTCAGTTGCTATTTCTTTGGTATAATGAATGTGCATTAATGCCAAAGAATTCTCTTCTTGTAACCGAACTTTTTCTCGGCTTGAACCGAATTACCAGTGTTCCACCAACGAACGCCAACTAGCGGTCGCCGGAATAAACACCAGCCAAAAAAAAAAGGTAGTAGTCTTCAGTCGATGTTACCGGGAGTCAGGAACTAAGCATGCCGTTTCCCTGAGATGTTGTTCCCTGAGATTTACTTTGCAACTTAAATGTGTAATTATAATGCCCTTAATTGTAATGTTTTATCTTAATTCTGTTTTGTTAATTAAAACTATTTAAAAAGGCCAAGTGAGTCTTTTGTTTATGGTAGTTTCGGTTATAGTTGGGTACCCAACGTGCGGCTCGAAAGATGATCCAGTTAGAAAAAAACCATCTTAGTTTTCATCCCAGAACATCGACTCATATTCTTTTCTAGGTTTTAGAATTCCACCGCATCCTCACCCTAAGTATTTTGGAAATTGCATAAAGTAGCAGTTTTATCTTCACCCGAAGGTTTTTTTTGAACATTGCAGGGTTTCATCTTCACCCAAAGATAACAGATAAGCATTTAATAAGAAAGAGATTTTCACTTAATAAGCATTTAATAAAGAGATAACAGAGTGAAACAATACAAAATTCTAATTATAACGTCGTTAATACTTTAATAATGGAATAAAATGTGTCATTGAAAACGAAACAGAATCATATAGTATAAAGTATGTATAAGCTCTAGGTGTTTCCTTTTACCTATGTCGCAAGAATTTATATCATCTTTGTTCTTAAACAGAGGAAGAGAGCAATGAGTATGCGCCTACATTTTGTGTCATTTTTAAATGTTTACTTTTTTTTCTTAAAAAGGAACAGAAGCTTTAAAACTTAAAAAAAAGCAGCTTTAAGAATTTTGCAAAAATCGATGTTCTACACTATAGAATTAAAAAATGAATAAATATCATTTTAAAATTTTAGGCCATGAATCTAAATTAATTTAATGAACCAGGGAAAAATTAACAATATTTTCACATTCCCTCCTTAGGACAATGGTGGTACTCTTTAATAGTAATATTGAATTTTTTACGTTATTTTTCTGTTTTGCATTATGATCAAAAAGTAAAATGCATTTGTTTTTGATAAACATTTTAAAACTATAGTGTAGAACTTCGATTTTTGCTAAACAAAGCCCATGCCAATAAAAGTTATTTCCTTCAGAAAGGGGGAATGTTGTTGATTTGTGGTTTCGGCATGATGTCGACGATGTATATGATCTTACAATTACATCAAATTTTTATCATTATAACTAGTATTTCATATATGCTTGCTATTGCTTGTTTAAATCCACATGGAAAAGCATACGAAGGTTTTCTATCTATGGGAAGAGATGTCATCCCATTCGTGGAGGACTTTCAAAGGGAAACTTGTTTGTTTCCCTTATACGCAAGGAAAACCACAAACGCTCGTTCAGCTGGTTCCGGATATTCTAACCTATGTCGAACTAGCACTCTTCATAAATTGTATACATTTTGTCCACTAATAGGTTTTGTGCTTTTTTCATTCTATTTAAGTTCTCTTAATTTATACTTCCTTTTAATCGGTATTTATCTGATTTTTTGTCGCAAACACAGATGCACACAAAATAAATAAATAAATAAATCTGAAAGGTTTCAGATTTTATATTACACCCAAAGGAGCGTTTTTCAACGCTTTGAGTGTTACCTTTATTTATTAAATATCATGTTCTCCCCACAAACCATAAAATTCAGTTCAATAGCAATAACACAAAATAAAGTAAAAAAGCATATCTTTAGAATTTACGATACAGTCTTACGCGCTGGAGATAAAAATGTTTTTTTCTTCGTACAGTGTTGCTATTGCTCACTTTGAAATTGATAAGTTAGTTAATCAAAAATTCGTACAAAATCAGAAATAGATAATAAAGCAAAATCTAAACTTCAAATTTGGGCTTCCAGATGACTATATTCGGTTTGACTACGTTATTCAAAGTTTGATGTCTCTATGTACCGTTGTTTTATCACAGTGCGAGAAACATACATACATTCATGCAGATTCTTCATTATTTAATTTCTTTAAATACAATGCAAGGCTCTAATATTTAGTGGCAACAATTTGAAAAGTGAAACGCCATTTATAGTGAGCCAACGCAAAATGCCAAAACGAAATTAATAGCCCTTTTGGGTGATTTGCCACTTTGGGCTAATAATAAAATAAAATAAATTTGCAGTGAATGAATTCTTTATCTGCATATTTAACAACTACCATATTAGATCATTTTAAATACTAATAATTTAAATTGCTAGATGACTAAGAAGATTAGGTAAGGTTATTTAATTACGGCAAAGCCTTGAGGGCTATCTGCCTAAGGGGAGGGATGCCTTCGTGGAGGACTTTCTAAGGGAAATTGGCTTGTCTACACGTTACAGATGGGGAAAACCATGAAAACACCCATGCAGCCAGCCCGTTCGTGGGATTCGAACCTCGGACCGAACTACCAGTATTAAGCGACTTTACCGCTCGGCTGCTGGTGGGCAGATGACTAAGAAAATGAAATTCATTGCATTGAAAGCATCGAAGTTGGCATGCTCTGTACATTATTCCAGAAAAAAAAAAGCTTAATATTTTTGCTATATTTATTGACTTCACTGAAATTCAAAATTAATGTAAAAAATAATCACTCAAAATTTTTTTACTGTGTTTCCTTCTCTCTTTTGTGCATTATTTATGTAATAAGTAGCAAATCTCAAAATTAAATATCCCATTTTATTTTTTTTTTAAATACTTATTTTCTTTTAAACATTATGCTTTTAGATGCTTGGTCCGAAACAAAAGAGCATTTTCTTCTTTAGTGACATTAAGCTTGATAGCTAGAGGGAAAGAGGGACTGGATACGGAGGGCTATTCAGAGCTGTAATAGAATAAAAGCTTTACGACTTGAAAGTGTCCCCTAACCTTCGAAGCATTTTCCCGCCGCTTGTTAGCTGAGGAAGGATGATTTTTCCTGATCTTACTTCTAAATGGAAAATCGTAGACTTTCCTTTAATTTTTTTGTTAATCACATGAATATTTTCTGAAGCTGGAAAGCAATATTTTCAAAACCTAAGTCTTATCTATTGAAAATCAATTAGCTCTTTTTTTAAGTATAGGTAGTGGTGAAGTGGGAGGGTGCTTCACCACTACCTATACCCCCCCCCCCCCCCCCCCCCCCCCCCCACCCCCCCCCCCCCCCCCCCCCCGCGTATACGCGCCTGTTCTATGAGGTTTCTCCGTTGTGCTACAAAATGTGCATCGCTGGGATTTGCATTTTACTGGCATATGTCCAATTTTCTTTAGTTTCTTTTTGTCTAGCACATGAAGTTTGTGGTTTTTTATGTTAATTGGGGGAATGCTTGGTCTTTTTGGCTTTGGTACAGATCCTTTATTTCCATTACGTATTTGTTTTATTTGTATTTCATCCCAAAGTGTTCATAAGATATTTTAAATTTAAATAAAACTTTTATGTGATTTCTATTTTTAATTATAGCAAAATATGCATTACATTATATTTAAACCATGCAAAATAATTTATAAAATCACAATATTAGCATGGGAAGCAAACATGTTGAGCTCTGAGAAAAGTCTCTCGAAATGAAAGACATTTTTACTGGGCAAATGCATATATTGTTTGTAATAAAAACACTCTGGTTTCAGAGCTCCTTATCTATATCTGGGTAAAAATAAACAGTCCTATTTGAAAGCAGTAAACACCACTGTGACGAGCAGTGGTTTCAGGGTATAACCCCTGAGCCTCTTGAGATTGTGACACAATGCTCCAGTGGCTCAATTGTTCATACCTTAACCACAAAGCAAATGCCATAAATATACACAGGTTGTTTATATATGCAGTTTAATTATTGCTATATTTATATTTTTTTTTTGATAGAAACAATGATATGCGATGAATAACTTTTGAAATTTAAAGTTGTTTATAATAATAAAGGAAAGTTATTTTGTCTCATATTAGATCTGTTAAAGATTTTCCTATGTATCTGCTGAGCACCTGTGCATATTTAAAAATATTACAGAAGTCTCTCATTTTATTTTTAAAATGTATAGTTTTCCATTTGTTGGCCATTTTATGGTTTCAGAAAATAAGTTTCTTCCTTTTTGGAGAACTTTATGTGAAAAATATAAAATATACTTTTAGAATAAGAAAATTCGAAAGTAAATTAAGCATCCCCCCAAACTTATTTTAAAATTTGACACTTAGTAAAAATGTAATGTATTATTAAATTTTGGATAATAAGTGATATTTTTAATGGGATGGATATTTCATGATGCTTGTTTGAAACAACCATATTTTTAATTTGAATAGGAATAAAGAACCTATTGCAAGACATCCAGATTTTCACGTATTTGCATGCATGAATCCAGCCACTGATATTGGAAAAAAAGATCTTCCAGCCGGTATACGGAGCAGGTAATTATTTTACTAATATAATTTATTGTTTATTTCATTTCACTTTAGTACAGAGTAATAATTGTTACAAATTTAGTTGGTTTTTGATGAATTTTTTTTGGTTTTTCAAAATTAATATTAATGATATTTGTATAGCCTTATGAAATTTTTCATTATAAATAAGTACTGTAATAAAATATTTTTAAATTAAAAGTTTTAATTTTTAGTAATGGAATTATTAAATTTGGAACTGAATTATTTTTAATTTAGTTTTTCTAATGTTTGTGATATAATATGGGATGGTTTTGAACTGAATGTTTAATTGCTGTTTTGTAACTGAGAGTTGAGTTTTAAAAATAACTTTGAAATGAAAGATATTTTAAAATGTAATAGTTGCAGCAGAGGTGCCCAACTTTTTATCTTTGCTGGGCCACAATGGAAGAAGATTAAATACTTTGGGCCGAACAAGCTATTTCTAATACAGTTGGTAGCTCGTGATTTCCAAAATAAGTGAATATCACATTTATGTAGGTTTCATCTAAAATTTTTGAGTTTTCTCGTGTTTGACCGCTGAAAGAATTTTTTTGGATTTCACCTCTAAGGAGAGAAAGTGGATTTGACTGCATTAGTTCAGATTTGCTTACTGTGTTCTCAATTTCAAGCTGCAACTAGATTTTTCAAAAACCATGAGTCCATATTTACTTTATTTTTAAAGTAGTGAAACAAGTTTCAAATAGAAATAAATAAGAATGATGTCATGAGAGTTTGCCTTCAGCATGCGATGATGCCCCAAAGGCAACACAAAGTTTTGTGATGTCTTTGATTTCTCTAATTGTGGCTTGATGTGGTAGAAAGTACTCGTTTTAAAGTTTTAAATATTCCAATTCATCCGTGATACCTACCTGCAAATGTTGATCTATTTTAACTTTGTAATGCTCATAAAACTTCGGATTTCTCTTATATCTGTGCCACAGTGGCTCAAATAGTTTTTCTGCTACCTCAAAATTATGCATGCTCATTCCACAGCAAGCAAACCTTCTGAAATTCTAAAAAGAATTTGAGTTCTGAAATTCTAAGCTGTTACTGTCATCAGATTTATTCGAAATTCCCAAAGCTTTCAAATGCTGTAAATTCAAAAGCTGAAAATGAATAAAGCAAAAAATATGTGATGATTTTAATAAGGGCAGATAATGTAATTTCATGACCCCAACTACTTATTAATAATAGTAAAAATGAAGAACTGCATTTGTTTCTTTTAAATAGTTTAGTTTGTTAATCAGTTATGGGGGGGGGAACTCGTCAGTTGTCGACATTTAACGTTATTTTTAACTTGTATCAAATTTATGTGTGATATTAAATGTTTCTGATGCATTATGTGTTTTTTCTGTTTCACTCACAGAGCACCGTAATTTAGTTTCTACCACTACTAATGATTTAGAATTCAGCAGACCCTTTCCGTTAAGAATCCTAAAGCATCCGTCCATCCATTCCTAGCTTGCTAGTAGATTTGCTTAGGGCCCTAAGCAAATCTATTCATCTGTCACAGATTTTTTTTTTTTTACAAAACTGTTTGATCAAATCAGTAATTTATTTGATTTGATTTTTTTTTTTTTTTTTTTTTTTTTTTTTTACATTCTGAAGAACAGTATTAAATTTCTTATCTAATAAGAAATAAAATAGTTATGTTTGGACTTTGATCAGTTCATGTTTACTTTCTTTTGGATATTGTTTTAGTTTACTATATTTCATGCATATATTTTACCTGCATAAGAGCCACACCACTCGTTAAATGAATCAGTGATTCACTTCACTCATATAGTGAGCTATCACTACCTAATAATAATGATGGACTGATAAGCCAATTATATGTATATATAATATCTGTTATAAACATATATAAGTAATTTAAATTTTATTAATTTGATTGTCTTAATATAATGACAGTGACATTGATTTTTGACATTGTCTTTGACATTTTATACATAACTTTTCATTATAAATGTTATTTATAATTGTTAAGACAAAGGGAAATGATAAAATTAATGTGATAAATTAATGTCTTAAATTTGAGAAACTGCATCAGCGTATGGCTTGATTGAAGTGATTGCAATTTTCTGGGATTTCTTATTATCTGGTATTCTGATTCTGCTTCACTTTTGAAAATACAGTCAAAAGTTGTTAATTCGTACACCCATAATCCGGACCTCAAAGCTAAAATCTTTCTGCGCATGCACCGCGTTGACGCGTGCGCATAGGCATTTTACGTGTGCGCGCAAGACATTTACGACTGCGCATATGCGTCTGCGCAAGCGCAGAATATGTATTCGCATGCGCGTTTAATGTATAACGAACAGTATAAGCTAAAATTATCTAATTATCTATTTCAGTTAATGTTGATGATTGTGTTGTTCCTTAATCTTCGAATTGGATCCGGCTTATTATTTTTTGCAGACTGTAAGAGCAATTTTATAAAAGTAAGCTTGAACTTTCGATTATGTCAAATAGAATTTCGGATGGAGCTCCCAAAGGATCTAGAAAACGAAAGTATGTTTCGATGTCCATCAAACAAAAAACAAATTGCTACAAAAAAAGGGATAAAGGCATATCCTTTGTTTATCTAACCGTTCGGAAATCTGTTTATCAAGCGGTGGGCAATGAACTGGAAGTTGATCTGTCAGCACTATCGTTATCTTCAGGGCAGGTGTTTTTATTTTATTCGGCTTATAATTCCTTACTAAATGCAGTATTTAATCTCGACTCCGTCTTTGATATGATTTAAATCAAATTCCTCGTCATTATAAATATCACGAATAAAAATCAAATAGATTTCTGGTTGCAATTTTCTAATTTTGGCTATGCGTAAGGTATGCTTTACGCATGCGCGCGTTGAAAGAAATGTTTAATAAAGTAAACAAATAAATATTAAGCTTCTTTTTTGTAAAATTTTGGTACCCTTTAGATCATAATTGCACATTATTTTATAAATTACGGTTTCATATTTTTAATTTTATAATTTCTGCATGCCATCTTACCAGATTTAAACTGATGATCTATAATCCGGAATCGCCGAAGTCGTGACGAGTACGGATTAAAGACTTTTAACTGTACTAGTTTATAAATGTTTACAAATGTGTGTGCTGCCAAATAATGATGACATGAGTAACCCATGACTGTGCAAGCCATATTTGTCTCTCTGGGTCAAAATGAAAATAGTCATTTTGTGCATAAGTCAAAAGAAGATTTGGAACTGCCACTCCACTGAAAATGCATTTTATTTCACTTCAGCTCCTAGCCTTTAATAACATGCCCATCCATGTTGAAAGCCAGCCTTAAACCCCAGTTGCAACAGTAAAATATATCTTTGGGGTGGGGTTTTGATACCTTTTTTGTGCTTCATGCTCGCTTTTTGAGGTGCATTGATACTTGCTTTGGGGCATGAGTTGGGCACCCCTGACTTATAGTTTTGTGAAAATAGGGAAAGTGAATGATTTGTTTTCTTCAAATTTTGTAAGAATTTTTTTATTTTAATTTAAAAACTCTGTACATTGAAAATGATAAATTCTTTTTATTTTTACACTTATAATAACCTCCTCATTTCAAAATTAGATTTACAGAATTTTTCGTTCAAGAAATTGATGATAAAATGGATCTCACAATATTGGTGCAAATGTACCTTAGGGGCTTGTCTTTAAACCCATCTGTTATAGAAAATGTAGTAGAGTTCTACAGTTTTATTAAAAAAGTTGCCACCGAAAAGTTAAATGATGGCACAGGACATCATCCACATTACAGGTAAAAGTATGCTTTTAAAATTCTATTAATGTATGGGTGGTCTCCCTTTTTATTATTTTTTCCCCCACTGTGCAGGCCATTTATAGATGGATTCAATTTCATTATAAGCAAAGTTGTCATATTAAAGTTGTTCTTCATTATCCAAATCTGTAACTTTAATTTAATAATAGTAATTTTCTATATGAAAAGTTATGATTTTTAAGACTTCTAAGTTGTGATCAGATCAGATATATATTTTTTAAAATAATTTTTAAGATATAAATTTGTACTTTTATGATGTTTAAAGTTATTTTATGATATTTAAGTGTAAGATTTTCTGTTATCAAGCAGAATGTATTTTCTATTTGTATTAATTGTAAAAACTTTGTTATTGTTTTTTAATAGATATGTTTGTAAAGTGATTTTTTTATGCAGTTACTGAAAACATGACATAATCCAAGTTAAATGATCAAAACTGTTGTTATCTTAATTCTAGTTATTTTTTCATGTAATAGTGTTTGTGCTACTTAAACTTCCTCACTATGATATTTCATGTTCTGTATAATTTTTTTTTTTTTTTTTCCCCTGTGGGGGAGCGAATTACTTAGTCAAATGGAAACTTTATAAGAAATAAAATTTAAAAAAAAAAAGTTTTGTTGCCGATTTAAACGAAAGTTACATGGACAAAATTGTGAATATCCCTAATTTATCATCATAGTTACCTAGAAAATCATAATTAAATTGTAAAAAATGGTAATAGTTTAGAAGAGAAATTTTTATTTTTGCCTTTTTAAATAAAGATTCTAAAGGCTTTTTTTAATACTTTCATTAAAAATTTAAATATGCATCTATAAATAATGATAAAAATCTAATATAAATATTTTTGGAAAATGATGCTTTTATTATCAAATTATGTTCCTAATGTAATAAATTTAGGTCATATAAGTAATGTTGGTGTACAGATGTATACTCTGAAAGCATACTAATACACATTGATCAAGCGTTTAAGAATTAAAGATCTAATATTCTTATGTTTTGTATAATATAAAAAAATTTTCAGACTCTAATAAAGCATAATTATTCAGAACTTGTGAAAATATAAAAGTTTGTATCTGTGACAATTTTGATAACTTAATAAAAATATCACTAATGTATGATGGTGCTTTTGTATTATTTTTTGTAATTTTTAATGTATTTTGTATAATTAGCCCTCTTGTAATTATTTATGTTTGAATATATCTTCATGATGATAAATGATTTGAAATCTCTTTTATGGGCTAAAAACTGACACCTTACTCATTTTGCAGTTTGAGAACACTTTGTAGAGCTCTAAAATGTGCATCCTCCAATCCTTGCCACAATGTTCCTCGTTCACTGTATGAGGCAAGTATATAAAATTAATTTAAATTTGTTTTAACCATAATCCTTGCTTTATCTGATCACCTTTTTCCCTCGTATTTTGGTACTATAATTGATAATTGTATCTGTTTAATGTTTCTGTCTTGAATTTATGTATTTCACTCTAGTTAAATGCATAATGCTCTGTAGCTGTTGATTAGTCTTCTGCCAAAAGGTATGTTATGTAATTGTTCAGATAGCAGAATTATATAAATCTGCAGTATTGTTTCAAAAAGAGGAGGTGAATACTTAAAAGTTTTGACACAGATATTTTTTTGAGGGCAAGACAAATCATTTTATGACTGTAAAGTTATAAAATAAGGAAGCCTTTTCTGAATTATTAAAAGAATTTTTGAATAGATAGATGACACTATAATTCAAATATTATAATTTTAAAACTACCTTTTTGATATATAATGTACCTACATTATTGTAAAATAATTTTGTGCAACTTATTAAAAAGAGCAGTCTATTAATTTTTTTTAATGTCCTGCTACAAATGCTTATAATTTAAGAGCATCAATGGTATTCATTTTCTGGCAATTTTAGTAACTGTTCAGCAGTTTTAATATGTTGGTTTACATGCTGCTTAAAATTAGACTCCCCTGCAAAAAATTACTTTTTTGCCAAATTTAAAATTTTACATTTTTGTGATTCTCTTCCAATTAGTTTATTTAGTTAATTTATTCTGTAGTATATTTCTTGAAGTTTGCAAAATTAAGAATAGTTGAGTCTTTTTCTAACTATTGCATACTTATCATAATATCAAGACAAATTTGAAGAAAGACTCGCATTTTAAATACTCTATAATTACTTTATTTCAGCATAATAATTCTGATGTGAATAAGTGTAAATCTGAGTATAAATATTAAATTATAATTATCAATGTTTGTTATTATGTTTTATGCTGTAGATAAGAGGTATTTTACTTTTATAAAGAAATATTTTATAAAAACTGGAAAAAAAAAAAAGAGTTTATGAATCTTTTTATCATTTTTATCTTTTATCTCTAACTTTGAACTGCTGGAAATGAAACATCTATTTAAAAATTAAGTCCAGAACACCTTTTTAATAAATTATTACTACTTATATGAGATGCCATATTATTTCTATGTTTATAGGAATATATTTTTCTAATATATTGAAATATTTTTAGGCCTTTTGTTTGAGTTTTTTATCGCAGTTGGACAATGAATCACATCCTTTTGTCACATCTGCTATTGCAAACCATTTGTTGGGAAAAAAACACTTATCAATATTAAAGCAAAGTATACCAGAACCAAGAAGTGGCAAACACGTTCCTATTCTAGGATATTGGATTTTGAAAGGAAATCAAGAAACTAGTTGCTCTGAAAATTATATTTTTACGAACACTGTCTACAGAAATCTTCATGATTTAGCTCGAATTGTTTCTGCTGGGTAAGATTTTTTACTTTTTATTTCGTTGCTACTTTTTGATACTAATGCTAACTATTTTCTTTTTTCTTTCTTTTTCTCCCCCCCCTTTTAAAAATTTGGTTAAAAATGTAACAGAATTGTCTTGTCGTTTCTGAGATTTTGGAAGTGAAAAGTATAACGTGATTGTTTGAGATAGCAGTTGTATAATGTGAATGCTGAAAAATGATTTCATAAGTAGTTTTTGACAAAATTATTCTTGAAAGGTAATATTTAATAAATTGATTGTAATTTAATTTATTCATTCTCATGCCATATTTCCAGGCAGAAATTTTATTGTAGTCTTAAAATATCAAGAATTATAGGTAGTTTTAGTGAATTATAAGTCTTAATAACAAAAAGTTCATTTGAAAGCTGCTGGAATAAAGGCCATATATCATTGAATGTGCTCTTAAGTAATCTCACATAATCCCAGAAAAAAATGTTTAATCCTCTCAGTGTTATGGACTGAAAATTCTGTATGGAAGGATGGCTTTCATATTCATTTATACATAGAAATTTCCGCCAGGTTTTAATATATTTGATTTTGGGCTGCATGTATATTGTTAAGAAAAGGAATCAAGATACAAAGTGGGGGGAGGCTTTTTTTTAATTATAATCAAGAAAATCCCATTTATTCATGGCATTTTAGAAACTTTAAAATTTCAGGTCTGAGCACCAAATGCTTTAAAATGCTTAAAGTAGAGATTAACTTACAGTTTTCTCCAAACACTGTGCTTCTGTCTCTTAATCTTATTGAAATCAGACTTTTGTATTTTGTCTCGATATTTTGTGGCTGCTTCATAAATATATTTGTTCTGGTGCTTTTTATTCTATGGCAGTGGATACTATCAGAAGCAGATATTCTTTTGATTCTTTTACTATATGTTTCTAATAACAGGTCTCGTACTAACCATACTGAAAGAAGTGGAATTATAAATTTCTGCAAAATGACCAATTCAGAACTTATTTTAATGTGAAGTAAAGCTATAAACGCTGCTTTATAACACTTATTTGCTGTTGATGACCTGGCCATCTTCTGAAAGTTATGATCCTTTCTAACTCTATGACAGCTATTCTGTGAATCACCACAGACCTCCAGCTAGCCAAGAAGTTGAAGAATTTCTTTTTTTGCTTGAATTTCATTTGAAAATTATATTCCAGTGGATTTCTTTTCCTTGTGGAATCCCTGATAATGAAACCGTGGGTCCCATTGCAAAAAAAGGATACGTACATCCTAACTAGATCTAGTATTATCATTTATTAATTCTACATTCTCAGTTGCATGTCAAAGCATTTTGAAGACCTCTAAAAGATCTTTATTTGAGAGAACTTCAACTAGGAAGTGTGTTGCTTAACAACCATATAGACCATTCCATAGATGGAACTGCTTCTAGCCTGTCATGCCATCCTCCTATCGATGCCAATTGTCTAGTCTGTCATTGGTGTTTACTCCCAGTTTGAAGGCACAGAATTTATGGACATGGAATTATGCTTATGCAAGAATTTATGAATTTTTGTATTTTTTCCTATTTTTGTATCTTGTAATTTTTATCATATCTCATTTTTGCATGTTTGTCTCCTGTTTTCAAAGTGCTTTTGCATACAGCATTGGACATAATAATAAAAACTCAAAGTAATGCATTTGGAGGGAAATGCTTTTAAGCATGAAAAGTTTTGAGGAAATTCTGAAAGTTGTAAAAATTTATTTTTTATATATTAGTGATATATATATTTGTTTTTATGTGTAAAGGTTAACTTTATCTTAATTTAAGCTAGTGTAATTTCCTAATAGAATATTTATGTATCTTTTAATTTTCACAGGCGATATCCAGTTCTGTTGCAGGGTGAAACTTCAGTTGGCAAAACTAGTCTTGTGCAGTGGCTTGCTAAAGCAACTGGGAATGTATGTGTACGGGTAAATAACCATGAGCACACAGACATTCAAGAGTATGTTGGAACATACAGTGCTGATGAAAATGGAAAACTGGTTTTCAAAGAAGGTTAGTGTAAAGTGTTCTGTGGGTTAAAAACAGTGATGGCTTTTTTCAGCTTTAAATGTGATTTTAGTCTTTAAATCAAGTATTGCAGAAAATGTAATACTATTGATTTTCTTTCTTCAGGAAAAAGTTGTTTTTCCTTCTTGTATTTTATCAAAACTGCAAATACTAAATATTTTTTATTGGACTGGTAAAATGATTTAGACTTCATTTTTCATCACATCTTTCAGTCTCATGGTAGATTTATGAATTTCTCAGTTTTGAATTTTTAGCCTTTACTAGAAAACTTTTTCAGCAATAAATAAAATTTATTGAGTTAATGAAACTTAAATTAGGCAAATTCCAGTTCCCCACCTCTAAAGATTTTCAGGATAATTTTTCTTATTAAATTTTATTTCGTCTGAATTGCATTTTTTTCTTATTAAATTTTATTGATCTTTCTTGTATTGAATTTCACATAGTCTCAGTTGTTTTAATCTACTGTAGACATTTGTAGATTTTTATATTAAGATTCAAGCAGTGTTTAATAAGATTACAACAAATTAAATATAAATATTAATCAATTAATATTTCTATTTAATTATGTTTACTTTAATATATGGTAAATTACTAAGTTTTAGCCCAAATGACATTAGCCCAGAAGGGCTATCAATTTCATTTTAGCATTTTGTGTTGAAAACTTCAAAAGGTTGTATCACTTTTTACATTGTTGCCACCAAATATTAGAATCCTGTATTATATTTAAAGAAATTAAATCATGAACAATCTGCATAAATATATGTATGTTTCCTGCACTGCGATAAAACAGCAGTACCTAGAGCCATAACATTTTGAATAGGGTAATCCTTCACTCGAATATGGGAATCTGGAAGCCCTAATTTGGAATTTATTTTAATTATCTATTTCATATTTTGTAAAACTTTAAGAATTTTTCATTAACAAACTCAATGATTTCAAAGCAAGCAATGGCAACACTGTATGGGGGGGGGACATTTTTATCTCCTGCGTTGCGTGACTCTGTATCGGAAATTCTAAAGATATGCTCTTTTAAAATTATTTTGTGATATTGCTGTTGAATTTTATGGTCTAAGTGTGAAGAACAGTAAATAAAGGTAACACACAAAGTGTTAAAATTCATTTGGGTGTAATATAAAGTGTGAAAACTTTCAGATTTTTTGAAAAAATTTATTTTCATCGTATTTAAAAGTACTTTGATAAATAAAAGCTTTTCTTTTCTACTTGCGATTTTCTAAGTATAAATGTGTAACAAAATTACAAAATGCAATTATCCAAAGAACATAAAATTTATAATATCTAACCATATGCTATTTTATTTTACATCAGAACTGAATAACAAATCGTACAATAAGTGAATCATGCATTATAAAGTGAATTAAAGTCAGTTTGGAGTTCCTTTGAAAAAGTGTGCCCGTGCAGCATGAAAACCTCTTTTTTTTATAATACCCAAGGTTTACTACTATGATATAGTTTTAGATAAGAAAGCTTTCACAATAAATGTATTGTAATTTGAATGCAAAATGCATTTATTTTTTTTTTAATAAAATAATTACAGAATATATTTTCTTCCTTTAATAAAAAATAGTTACTTACATATTATCCTTTAGACTGTCAAAGTTGTCTACCTTCAAACTATGAAATTTTGCAGAGATCCCTCCAAAGTTGTGTCTGTTGCTCCTGTGGAATTCTAAGCCGCACTTTTATCTGCAATTCTTACAGTAAAACATCATCAGTTTGTCTACACTTGATTTGTTTCACAAATGTGATTCTAGAGTCCTCGGGCTCATCTTTTTTTTCTCAAAATGTGATAAAAAATGCATTAAAAACAGTTAAATAATATTTTTGTTCCTAAAAAGAAAGGTGATGTACTGAGAATTATTTGGGGTTACATCAAATCATAATGCAGGTGTTATGAGCATGTTGTAACGTCACTCTTATCTGTAAATGGAACTAAATCATGCTGCTTAATGATAGTTTCACAATAGATAGAATACTATACAAATACATAAAATAATAATTCGTATCTCTTTTTTGAAGTAAAATTATCAAAATATGTACGCTTTGAAATACTGATTTGTAACAAAGTAGAACCGTCCCCTCCACCCCCCAAAAAATCTGCCAGCCTAAAATCCACACGTTCTTTTTGATATCAACACAGAAATGTCAAGGGCTTATCTTATTCGTATCTCTTTTTTGAAGTAAAATTATCAAAATATGTACGCTTTGAAATACTGATTTGTAACAAAGTAGAAATGTCCCCTCCCCCCCAAAAAATCTGCCAGCCTAAAAGCCACATGTTCTTTTTGATATCAACACAGAAATGTGAAGGGCTTAGCACACCTGGAAAAACAGGAAAAGTCAGGGAGTTTCATTCTTCTGTTTAAGTAGTAACATTGCTTATTGATTATTGCTTCTATAATTGTAGATTAATAAATATTTTGCCCACATTCATTAAACTTATACCAGTAATTGAAGGCAACCTCATTTTTTTGTCCAGCACGCTTGCAGTATTTGGAATTTTGGTTGTTTGTTATATTATGACTAGAATAAATATTATACTTTTTTGTTATATCAGAATGGCAAGTTTTAATAAAGCTTATGATTTTCCTGCAGCTGATAAGGAAAAAAGAATTTTGAATATAATAATTGATCAGGAAATACGTAATAATTTTGGGTAGGAGGGCTCAAATTTGAACATTCAAGTTTAATGAACTGTAAATAGGAAGTAAACAGAAATTTGAAAGATTTGCAAAAATAATTTTTATGTGCTTTTTATCCTTATGCTCTTTTTACATAAAACTGTATTAAACATATATTTCTGTATAAAAATGCTTTTTAAAAAAGAATAATTGCTTTTATATTGTTTTCATGAATTTGTTTTTGATTATTTTGGCTTTGTTTAGATTCTATATATTAATTTGTTATCCAATGACTTTATCAATGACTTGATCATTTATGATCTGAAATCCATGAAACCCTAAAATTTACTCAGTTTTAAATCAGACTGGATGTCATGGACAGTTGTCATTACAGTGTCAATACCATGCATAAAATACTGCATATGGTGTTGGAACTGTGCATGGCATCCAGTGTCAGTTATTTGATATGCAGAATTTATGAAATATGTGAATGCATGCTGTTCCATCATAAATATAGATTTCATATTACTAAGTTGCTTAAAATAAAATGCTGATGTTTAGGAAAATAGCTGTAACACTGTAGGTATGGATGAACTGTTCTGTAAAAAACGTTTTTTATACAGTCCGCCTGGAGTAAAGTTTATTTGTTAAATCATTATGCTTAAATTAATTTGAAATAAAAATGTAAAATTCAATGACTTTGTAGAGACATTAAGTATTTTGGAAGCAGGAAAAGAGAAAAATTAGCAACGCCTTCGTTGGGAGTCAAACAGTGGGCCTCTGGATACGTGCCCAGCGTGCAGACCACCACACCATGAAGGTATGCTAAGAAGGTGGAGAAAGGACGACTGGAGTGTTTAGGAGACCCTATCAACAAATCCTGGGTGAGGAGAATTATCATCCAACACCCTTTTAGTTTGGATGCCACCACTGTAAAGACATTAGGTATTTTGGGAAGCAGGCAAGAGAGATTGAAAAATTAACAACACCTTCGCCAGGAATTGAACTGTGTACCTCTGGATATGCGCCCTGCATGCAAACCACCATACCGCGAAAGCATGCCAAGAAGGCGGGAGAAATGCCTTATAACTTAATAAAGATTTTAAAAAAAATGAAGGGTCCATTTACAAATTTAATGATTTATGGCATTATCTGCAGATAAAACTGATACCAAAATGAGCAGCTTTTGTTTTTAGTTGCTGTATAAAACTATTCTTTCAAATCTTGAATTTAAATTCTTAATTAAGAATGGTATTGCCCTGGATTTGTAAGTTTCTTTCTAATTACATTCTTTAATTTCCCACATGAAATTGTGGGTTATTTTATGTTCAGCTAATTAATGTGTAGTGTATATTTAATAAATAAAAATTTTACTAATTGGAATTTCTTGTGTATGTATGATGTAACAGAATTGATGATCACAACCTTAAAGGGTGAAAAGATTTAACAGAATGTAACAGAATTGATGAAGTAATGTAATAGAATGTAACAGAATTGATGAAGTAATATAATGGAATGTAATAGATCTAATAGAATCAATGATCACAACCTTAAAGGGTATGACAAAGTAACAATTTTCATAGTACTGTTGCGTGTATACAGGTTCGTAATAGATTGAATGCACACAGCTCTGATGCTAAGTTGATAAAATTTATTTGATCAGATGAAATACTTCAGAGATCTGAAACTTTCCACAAAAATAGTTATACAACTTTTCACAGTATCATGGAGTACAATCAGTAGTTACACTTCAAACTACTGTGAACATTAAACACAACAAAATGCTAAGTGCATCTAAGGAACAAAGCTAACTTGGAGATATCTCAGTGCTGCAGCTCACACTGAACTAACAACTTGCAACAGCTGAAGGACTTTCTCCGGTCTTATATAGTTTCCATTCAGTCGCCGGGATTTATCTTGTATTTTCTGCTTCTCAAATTTACTGGAAGGCATATAAGGGCCAAATACAGTTACACAAAACATCAATTACAATTATCCACTTAAAATATCTGTTTACTGTAATACAGGATCCAGGACTTCGGCGGCAAAAATTAATCGCTAAAAACATTGCCAGTTTGGTGATACCTCGTCGAGTTAGTGAGATAACCATTTACTCAATATTAAATATGCTTGCCCTTGTATTCTTATTTTCCAAGTAGAGCGTCATTTCTACCAGCTTTTCAAGTTGCATTATACGAAAATACAGCAATTTTACATACTATTTTAATAAAATTGTCTATTTATGTACAAAATTCCTAACATTACGGTAGAAGGTAAAATTTGAATATGGAAAGACCATTGGTATGAAGGACACAAAAAATAGTTATTCTAATCATGGGTATTCACAAGAAATAATGTTTGATGTTTATAAAAATTGTTCATATGCTTCCCCACCACTAACAACAGTACATCAAAAATTAAGAAAATGTCACTCTGATTAGTGTGCATTTTAGAAGATGCCCGGTGTGTTACATACTTCTGCAGCAACAATGTTAATTCTGGTGATGAGGTCTTCAGGAGAGTCGGTCTGTGTGTCATAAATGAAATCTATCATCATTGTTATCCATGTATTGCAGTTGCTAATGATTCATTTGAATAGTTATAAATATTTATCACTCTTGTAAATTTCAGTGTGTAAATTGACATTTAATTTTCCATGTTCTTCACACTTACTGTGTTTATGCATTCACATTCCACCATGCATCATCATATGAAAATTGTTATTTTTGCCATGTTTTATAAGTCGTGACAAGTAAGAGCTGCTACATGTGTGTGAATATACATATGCATCTGTGTGATGCACATAATGTTGTCTGCTTTAGATACTGAAACTGCTTTTGTAAAATTTTGCACCTAAACGTAATAATTTTTTTTTTTAATATTTTTTTTTATTTTAAAGTCTATGTGGGCAGCTAATGTTAATGCTTAGAAAAATCATGTTTATAACATTCTTCTTCTTCTTCTTTTTTTTTTTTTTTTTTTTTTTTTTTTTTTTTTTTTGAGTAGATATAAAATTATGCAAGCATAATTTTAGTTAAATTTATAAGATTAGTTGAAGCTACAATGGTATCTTATCATTACTGTATGTCAGTTATTTAATATAAATTTAATTCTATGTAGGAATATTAGTTGAAGCTATGAGAAATGGCTATTGGATTATTCTTGATGAATTAAATCTTGCTCCTACTGAAGTCATGGAAGCTCTTAATAGAGTAAGTTAATTTGCCTATTTTGATTGATGCATATTTCTTTAGCACATTAGTTCTAAATATTTCATATAGTTATATTTTAATCTATACTTTGCAAGTTAGGGGGGCATTTAAATAGTTTAAATATCTTAAACACATTATTATGAAATGGACTTCCATTACATTGCCCGCTTTTAGCAAATAACTTTTAGCAGCATATAAAATAATTTAAGTAAATGTTTCTTACTGATGCACATTTTAATTACTATCTTATTTTTATGAATGCAATAATTTAACCAGAAATAGACTGAAAATATTTCTAGCAACATATTTAAATGATAAATTTCAACAGAAATGGAAAGCAATAAAAGTTCTCGGGAACTGTAGATATTTAAGCAAGGCATAATAAATGTGAATTTTTAGCTGTTAGATGTAGGTTTATATTATTAAATGTTATTCATCACATGAAAATGAATTCTTAGAACTTAATGCATTACATAGAAAAGCAAAGCAATTAGCTAATAGGCTTCTATTTTTGTCCCACTAAATAAAGTATATCAAATCTAAATTTAGCCATTAAGTTTTTTTTTCTTGCTTACCATTTAATTTAGTTTTTGAATTTAAAATAAGAAATTTTCAGTAAGGTTTTATTAATAATCATTTTGGTATGCTGACTGATCAAAATCAGAAATAAAGTTTTAATCTTTTATTTATTTATTTTTTTGAATTATGAGTTAATGCAGACACATTAACAAGCTTTTTAAAGACTGTTGTTCTATATTAAAAAAAGTACATTATAAATTGATATACATTGGTTATCATTAATTAAGTAAAAATCACAAAAATGACTATTACTCAAAAAGTTACATGTAGAATTTAATGAAGCTGACACACAGTATACACATAGTAAGGTATAAAATAACATGAAAAGCAATTGCCAGACAATTATGGTGCTATAGAAATTAACATAAATAGAAAATGAGCAATTTAGATGTGCCAGTTTGGTGTAGAAAAATTATCTTCAGTTTGGAATATGATCTTCCCTAGAAGCAATACAGTACATACAGCAATGTGTATTGTCAATTATGCAGTATGTCAGTTCTGTGTGAAGTGAGAGCCATTACAAACCATTTGCAAGCGTGGTAAGGGTCTAAAGAAGAGGAATGAATGCAGCTCTATGTCTTCCTAGAACATCTCAATCATGGACTAGAAGAGAAACACGCTAATGTGACAATCAAAATCATAAAAACAACCTTGTATTTAGCTTAAGTATATTGAAACACTCAATCCATTTCGAGGGCATATACTTAAGCTAAATACAAGGTTGTTTTTACGATTTTGAATCTTAAACATGCCTAATAGGATTCAGGCCCACTGACCGAGCAGGCCACTTTTGCGCTGAATTATTTGCTGCTGAAGATAATCATCCACAGTGCGAGTCCTGAGTGATCTATCATCATCGTCCTGTAGCAGGAAATTATCATCTATAGCCCAGGCATAAGGGTGCACATGAGCATGAAGAATGCCATCTTTATTGGCTTTAGCATTCACAATTCCAACATGGAAAGTGTGTGGTCTGTGCGTGGAAAGTCCGACGTGGCCTGACCCAAAGAGATACCCCCCCCCAACCACAGGCACTGCTTCTTCTGTATGTATCTCTTTCATGAATGTTTAATGGATGATAACAGGTTCCAGGTTCTATCCAAATCAAACAATGCCTACTATCGCTTCGGAGGCTAAACCTAAACTCATCTGTAAAGTCTTCCATTGATCAGCTGTCCAGTGGACATATTGACATGCCTCCTCAAATGTTCTCTTATATGATGTGATGTGAGTGGCACACAAATGGCTGGTCGCCTCACGTGCAGGCTTGCTCCAGTTCTGCTCCGTCGAGGTTCTGCCGTGTCAACTCAGGAAAATTTTTTGGGTGGGACATCTGGGGGTGGTTTCCTCTGGGTTCTGGGCTGTCCTCCTTTTTCAAACCTCTTCTTATACTCCGCACAGCCACGGAAACTGCTTACATGCTCCCCTTGGCAAAATATACAGCATGGCTTTTCTTCAGGTCTCTTCGAACAGGCGTTGCTCCTGTGCGGCACTCCGCACTTCACGCATTTTTGCGGGTTATTGCATAGATGCTGTGTATGTCCGAAGGCCTGGCAGCGGAAACACTGCACAGGCCTTTTCTTCGAGTTGTATTTCTCCACACGTATGTCGAAACTGAAGACGTTGTTCAGCTGGAAAATATGGTTCCCTTCGTTATTTCTCCTTCTACAAAAAATATGGGCAGTTTGACTTTCACACCGTCTTTGCTACTCTTGAACTGCTTTACTTTAACATCAGGAAATTTTCTATTTCTCAAATCACTCAGAATATCATATAATTATTTTAATCAGAATATTCTTTGCTAGAAGCAGGTAGCCCCTTTAAGAATCACTTTTCCTTTCGTGTCGTGGTTGGTATGTATGAAATGCGGTATTCCTTCCCTTGAGAAGCTCCATTACACTCTGGTAATCTGCATGACTTTTCACATAAACGTGAATGGTTCTGGACTTAACACTCGATTCGTAACCATTTGGGCAGTTCTTAGCAAAAGGTTCATCGATCAACAGCCAATCAGGCATATCGCACGGGAACACAAAGGGCGGGGGCGTTTCCACTGCAAACGCTCCTCCTACTTCTCCTCCCTGGCTTGTGCTTTCAAGCGTTTCAAATCTGTTAGTCTGGGTGACTTCCATCGGCACTTCAGGAACTTATTGTTTTGCGGGATTCTTCGGAAGTTTCCATTCCTGGTCACTCATCACTTCATCAGAGATAGTTTCATCAGCTTTAGGCTTCTTTACACTGGACTCAGGAATAAACTGGCCGGGCTGTATATCACGCGGCGGCTTCTGCTGCTGTGCCTGCACCTGCTTATTTTCATGACTGTTCACAAGATTGAAGACATATTCTACACCATATTGATTAATCATTTTCTAGATACGTGGATCGTCCATTATTGGGGAGAATAATACTTCTCTGAACCTCTTGTCCTTTAGCTTTGCTCTTTCGTTTCTTGGTACTGCTCTCGGCAACGAAATCTTCTTTCTGAACTTCACCAGCATCGATCTAGTAGATTAGAACGACTTCTCAGATTCGCGCTCGCTTAGCTCATCGTCCATAACATCAATCGGCGTCCTAAAGAAGGACATTTTAGAATGTACCCGCAGTGGTTTGCCCCAGAATATTCTCGAAGGCATGAACTCCGAGAGCGACCGAACCGACTTGGGAGCTGTATTTAGTGCTTTTTCAGCAGGGGAAAAAATAGTTACAAATAGCGTCATCAGAGGGCGTTTTATTAATAAATTATACATTTAGCTTCACATTTACAATAGTTTTACAATTTTACAAATTTTGTTACAAAAAAATCTGAACGTGGTCTATCCAGCGCCTCTGCTATACGCCGGACACCAGTGCTAGACTTAAAGTTTGAAGCTGTGTCCTCTATGACATGAAGCACAACCTCCTAGACGGCTTTTGCAGATAGGTTTGTCTCCTCTTCCAAGATGAACGAAAAAGATTCTCTTTAAATTTTGTTTGCATTTCCTGAAGGGTTTTAACATTCATTGGACCTCCTAGAAATCCTCTTCAGTCCAAAATTTCCATACAGCAGCTGTTTTGGTCAAATAATTTTACTAACAAAAGCACGATCTCTTGAACTTATCGTCATTGTGAGTAAAACTATATACGGTTTTCCATATATAGCAACAGGTTCTTAGTAACCAAGGTCGAGATGGATTCTTGAAAAGCTTGTCAAGAAAAAAACAATTCTCTTCTAGATCAGAGGGAATCAAATTTTATATTACGGCCAATGCGGCTTTTTTTTTTAACATTTTGTGTGTTACCTTTATTATTAAAATAGTATTTTCTTCCTACTTAAACTATAAAATTCAATTCAACAGCAATATCATAAAATAATTTTAAAAGAGCATATCTTAAGAATTTCCGATACAGTCTCGCACGCTGGAGCTGAAAATACTTTTTTCCCTCTACAGTGTTGCCATTGGTCGTTTTGAAATCGTCGAGCTTGTCAATCAAAAATTCGTACAAAATATGAATTAGGTTAACTTTAACAGCCTCCTTTTTATATACTGCATATTCTGGTATATAACGCGCAACTGTATTTTCAAGCTACATTTTTTAATTTTTAAGAATTTGCTGTATAAGACACACTCTTATGAAAAAAACCTGAAAGATACATGTGCGATGCTGTTATCTTCTGAAGTCATTAATTGGAGACGTTCCGCAGTCTTTACGAACAATGGTACACAGAATTGAAAATGATATGGGGTTCAATACGTATGTAGGGAAAGTACTTGAGGGACTAAATCTCTAAAAAGGATTTGTTGTATTCAATGCAGCTGCACACAATTTTATTCTAAGGTTTCGAGAATAGGGGAACATAATTTGGGATACGAATGTACTTCCAACCCGAATGAATTCGCAGAATAAAGAATCGGAAGTTCTTTCTTCGTAGTCATCTGAAGCTGTGATTTCGAAGTGAACATCGAAGGTTCTCGTAAATCGCATTTGCTTTACCTAAAATGCAGTTATCTAGTATTCCTGTTAGTAATAAACATGGCTCTTGCCAAATGAAACAAATGTAGTGCTGGTTTCAAATGCAAAGCCATTCAGTTTGCAAAAGAACCAGGAAATCGTGCTGCAGCAAGGATGTTTGATATTGGTAAAAGCTCCATACGTTAATGGAAGCAAAATGATATCACAATAATTAATTAATTATGCCAAATAATGAACATTATTTGCATAATAGGGTAACGAAATGGAATATCCTAACAAAATGTTGCTAACTGGCTCCTAGAAAATCGCCAAAATCACTAGTAACAGCATTTAGGTACATGCAGGAATCAATTTTTTTGTATGCTAATTTTTTCCTTATTTTTAAATCTAACATTTTTATATCCGACGTATAATGCGCACCCATAAATTTCAATCTCATTTTCTGTATTTAAAGTGCACATTATACGTCAGAATATACGGTATCTATTTATTTTAGCCCATTTTCAACTACGGATAAATGAAACCACAACTTGGAAGAATGAACGGATTTTTAACGTATTTTTGTTTTGAATAAAATCACGCATTTTTTTCAAATGTCATTGTTTTATTTCTCAATGTACATAAATACAGCTCAAACATTTCGCATCAAAATAAGACACACATTAAAATACATACATATTTACAGTTTGTAACAATCAACAGATTGAGAGGGGTTTTTTCTTACCTCTAAATAATATTTACAATAAATGGTATATAATTTCACATTTTTAACATTCATAAAACAAAATAGTTACTTTCAAATTAATTTGTACTATATCAAAAAAAAATATACATACAAAATCTTTTGTTTGTCCAGCAAGTGGCTACAAAAGTTTTGCATGTAGAAAGAAACCAAATTCAATTTTTAAAAAAATTCAGAAAAAATAGTTCTTTTAAAAATTACAAGTTCAACTTTAAAAAGAAGTCAACAGAAATTAAAACTAACGAAGGGAAAATTTCTGACAGCAAACAAACATGTGACCTTGGGTTTCCAATAGAAAAGCATAAAAACATCTCAGATACTTTGCTATTGTGCATTTGAAGATAAAAAACAATGATAATACACACAACTGTAAAATACATTTCCATATTTATATGCAATTTATTCTTGGCAGGAATTAGGATTGCCACAGCTAATTATTTCATGGAAACAGATATCTGCTCTATAATAAACTAGCAACAAAAAATGGAGGGAATGTTTATCACGGAAAAAACGTGAAATTTATTTTTGGTACTTGCATATTATCTCATTGACTACGAAAGTTGACAGAGATCCCTCCAAAGCTGTGATTCCTATGGAATTCTGAAGAAACTGACAACACTTTGCTTAATAAACTATCAGTGTTCGATCTTTGTTTTTGCCCTTTGTAAAAATGGTTTTTATCAATTTCTACTATTTTCTTAGGACTTTTGATTTTACCAGAATGTTTAAAAATGCTTTAAATGAATACAAATTTCCTACAGGTACTGTTCCAATTTATTACTGTTTATCAGCCATTTTCAGCTGACCATATCATATTCATTAATATGATTAGCTCACACTCTCCCTATATCTTGTTCAAATTTTCAATAGTTAATAAATAATTTTTATTCATCCACTCAAGCTCAAATACATTTTTTAAACTTGTAGTGGATGACATTTCAAATTAAGTTTTTTTCACATATTAAACTCAACTCAATTCCTACTTATTTTTTCCTGTCTGTTGGAACTAAAGATATGCTTTTTTTTAAAATATATTATAAGACTTTCAAATAATGACAGTTAATTTGAAATTCTCACTTGCTGTAAAAATTAATTTTATACCAACTTATAGTACATGACTGTGATAAATGGGAATGTAATATTTAACAAAAATAAGAGGCAACAGTAAGACAGAGTGCTAAAGATTTTTAAGTGTATAGAATTAAAGAATTGTAGTTTTATAGAGTTGGATGAAGCGGATGTAATGTCTCATTGTGTAGCAAATATTCACCTCATATTTCTGCTATGTTAACATGATAATTTATGTTTAAAATATAATCCTTTAAAATGTACCTTGCTTATTAAAATAAATAAATAGCACTGCAGATTATACAGTAATATATCCAGGACAAAAACTCTTTGCAGCAGGTCAAGCATATCCCTTGATTCGTGTGAAATCATTAGATGGAATATTAATTGAAGAACTGGACTGCTTGAAAGAACTTGCTGGAAAGGTTCCTTTCGATAATGAAGCATTACAAGAGATGTATGGAA